AAAAGCTTTTCCTTGATCATGCAACTCACAATGCTATGTTATTTTGTGTCTTTTATAGAAGGTAAAATACATAAGGCCTTTCTGATTATAGCCTTTAACAGAAATATCTGCAATAATGTCCCTGGTTCCATGCATCAAATACATTGTTTTAAGAAAAGGTGAAATTGCAATACAAACTGCTGTTAGTTTGTGATTAAATCTACTAAATAGACTATCTGTACCTCTCTGCGTTATTATTCTGACCAACTCTACAACATATTTACACCATCTTCAGGTGATGACAGCTGTTTTCACCACCCGCTTCACCCCTCTCATCCTAGCTGGCATGGCTGTGGAGCGCTTCATCGCCATCTGCATCCCCCTGCGCCACACCAACTTGTGCACAGTGCCCTGCACCCTCCACCTCATATGGATCATCCTCCTCCTTGCTGCCACCCCTCCAATCACTGACCTCCTCATCACCATCTTCAAGGAGCCTCCGAGTTTCTTCCACAAGACCATTTTTTGTGACCATTCTTTTCTTTTCCGTGATCCTTCCATCTATTACAAGAACAGCGTATTTGATGGGTTGTACCTCTCCTTTGTGGCCCTCACGCTGCTCTACACCTACTGCAAGATCATGCTGACAGCACAGGCTGCCTCAACCAGCCTGGCATCCGTGAGGAGAGCCAGGAACACTGTGTTGCTTCACGGAGTGCAGGTGACATCTTAATACTAAGGAGCAGAATCATTGCGCAATGCAACACCAAGAGTTGACCTGCAATTAATATAGATGTCTGAATATTAATTAAACTATATCATCCTTTTTCTTAATCTAATTGATTTTACTCCATCACTCACTCACCGATTTGTAGGATTCTACTTTATGTAAATATAAAAATACTAGATATGATATCCATATTTATATATATATTAAGAGTAAAACAGTAAAACCTACCTAAATAAAAAAAAAAACAATTGTTAACAAAATTTCTGATATAACTACTTTCCAAATGTCAGAAAGCTGCAGAAGTGCTGCAAGAGTCTTTCTGTTACAAGTTTATTTGAATTAATTTATTTAAATATCAGCAAAATAAGGTACAGCTTATTTAATAATGGGACTTATTTGTCCTATTTAACCAAATTTGATAAAGATGGTATCAAAACTTTGATTTTTTTTCACATATTGCTACAAGTGTAAGCATTTATAAATAACATAATATGTATTTTTTGTTGATTTTATTTCTTTGTTTCAATATTTTTTTAAATAAGCTGATTTTGCTCTGTGTATTTATTTTTTCTTTACTTTGATATTGCTTTTCTTATGCTGTTTTATTCTTTAAGTGCATGAAAAGGTTATTTAAGGAAAATACCATTTTGATATGAAATGTTGGTACATGGTTTAGTTTATATTACTTGGTCTTAAACTTTATTTGCCTTTTCTTTTACAAATAAAATCTCCTTCAATCTTTATTTTTTCATTCTTCATTTTCAGTTGCTGCTGTGCATGCTCGCCTTCGTGGTTCCTTCCCTCCAGGCTGCTCTGATCTCCCTTTTCCCCCAGCTGTCCCTGGAGATCCGTTACATCTTCTTCTTGCTTGTCTACATCATTCCCCGCTTCATGAGTCCAGTTATCTATGGGTTCAGGGACGAGCTTTTCAGGAGGTACTGGATCCGCTATCTGTCCTGTCAGAAGATCATTCGGGTCCAGCCTAAAGCTTTAAAAGAAACTTGCAGGTGAAATTAATGGAAATTATGTGGGAAGCATGACACCCAACATCTGTAACACTTTGGCTCCAAATGTAAAGAGGGCATTGTGCTGTGGTTTTTAGAATTAATTATAAATGGCATCTGTTTGTTTTAAATTCCTGACTATTGTGACTGTTAAATGAATTGATTTGACCAGCGTGTCAATTCAAATATAAGTTGTGCCAATCACATGGAAGCAACTCAATGAATTTAAGCATCTAGACATGTTGGAATGAGGAATGGCATGATTTTCTTTCCAGCTGTTCTGGATATTTGAAACTGCCAATTTTAACTAACAATTATATGTTGACTTTTCATAGAATGATCAAAAAATTTCCTGTTACATTTTTTATTTGCTTTGTGAATATCAAATCACTCTCATCAATAAAATATATTCAGAATACACAAATACACAGAATTAAGGCAGAAGAATACACAGGAGTACGGCAAAAGGAAATTGACAGAAAGTCCCGAAAAACAAGTACAAATGTGTACAGATGTTGGTATCACTTATAAAGGAAAAACTCAATATGGTCTCAGAAAAAAAATGAATGTGACAAAGGTGATAGATATTAATTTTATGAAAACCAACAAATAACTAAGACATTGCTTTTCACAATTTTTTTACAGAATGATCTGAAAAAAATCAACTTATGAAACAGGCCGCGACAAAAATAATGGTATCCATAACTTGAGTAATCACTCTAAACCAAATGATCCCTATAAATGTCAATGAGACTTCTGCTCCTTTCAACAGGTATCCTTATGAGCAAACAGCTCCAGTTGCCATAGGTACAATATTCAATAGAATTTAGATTAGGTTTCATAGAAAACCACTGTACACTGCAAAAAAATTGAAATCTAAAGAAGTCAATTTTTCTTAAAATAAAGGAATTTTTTTCTTGTGTTGAGGTGATAAGTAAGACACTTAGAGCCAATAGCCAATAGAACAAGATAATTTACATTTAAAATAAGAAAAAACTTTTGCATTGTCTTATTTCAAGTGCATATTTTCTTATTATCTTATTTTAAGAGTAAAAATACTAATTCTATTGGTAAACTATCTTATTTACCTGCTCAAATTAAGAGTAAATAAACTTAATTTAAGACATTTTTGGCAGAATAGTCCAATGTGTTCCTCTCCGCCATTCTTGGCTGTTTCTAGCTGTGTGTTTTGGGTCATTATCTTGTTGAAAGACCCATCACACTGGGCAGCATATTTTTAAATGAAATTCCCAGATAGTTTAGATATTTTATTTTATCCTGCAAAGATTCAAGAGACCCTGTGGCAGATGACGTAAACCAGCTCCAGAACATAACATGTTTCACATTAGGGACACTGTTCTTTTCTTGATATGCAAGAATGTTCTTTTGTCTCATTTGCCCATAGGGTATTCTCCAAGAAGCTTTTGTTTGTCAAATTCCTGTCTGGATTTTTTTTAGGACTGGTTTCCAACAATGGTGTCCTAATTGATCCTCTCCCATTAAGACCAATTTGGCTTAAACAATGACGGATGCCGTTATCTGACTCTGATTTTCCTTGAGCTTGAAGCTTGTTTTTCAACTCTTTAGTTTTTTCTGGGCTCTTTTTTAACCTTTCTTCTTGTCAGTCTGTTTGGTTGTCATCCGGTTTCCTCCTGCAGGGAGGTCTGGATAGTAAATTTCTTCATATGTGAAACTGTAATCGCAGAAACATCAAGCTGCTCTAAGATGGCCTCATAGTCTTTACCTTTAACATGCTTGTCTTTATATGTCGTTCTAAACTCCTATGAGAATTCTTTCCTTTTCTTCCTCTGGTCCATGTTGAGTGTGGTACACACCATGTCACCAAACAGCACAGTGACTGCCTATAGCCCTATAAATAAGCCCATTGACTGATTACATGATTGTAGAACCTTATGATATAAATTAGTGAACACGCCTCGGTTTAACACGACTTTTGGTCACATTATTTTCAGTCTTTTAAATGGGTACCGTCATTTTTTGTCCAGGCCTACTCCATAAGTTAATTGCTTGTTGCTGCTTTGTTATTATTATTATTCTTATGAAGTATAGTCAAAAAGCAATGTCTGACTTTCCAATTTTATTTTGAAAGATTGTTTTTACTTTTCTCAGAATCAAATTATGTCTGTGAACCACTTTGTTGTTTGACTTTGTTTTGTTTTGTTTTTTATTAAAAGAGAAGTAACACAATTTTGTTCTGAGTGTATCTATTCCTCAGTTTGTAAAGGGGCTTGGGTGTAAATTATTAATTATGTCTGCAATTAACTAACTCAATATTTTACACAAATATAAATTCCACATAGATTTAGTTTCCTGGCTTTTAGAACCTATAATTATCCAGATATATTACTTACACAGCCAATAGGAACTCTCTATAACTCATCTTGGAATTCTTAGTATAGGAGCAACACTACATTTGAGCCACCAGATGGGGTTATGACCACAGTGATGCTTTAAGCAATACGTTTTAGAACAACTTGAAAAAGAGGGGAATTTTATTTTTATATCAACCCATGAAAGTATTTATCACTGTTTCTCTATCTTCGGTTTATTTAGAACTGACATGTTTGTACAATTAAATATAAAACAAAGTAGTATTTTAATGAGGACTGAACAGATTTGGCTGTATTAAACACAGGAAATGGTTTAGTCATCCACTTCTTTTATGTTCCATTTTTCTATTATATTTGATCTAAAGAATGAAACAAAGTAAATACTTTATTAGCTTACAAAGATTATACATTCATTTGGTTTATTTAAATAGATTTTTTGGTTTTAGAAAAAAGAGCCATCAAATCTAAACCTCGAGAAACATCTTGAGCCACTTCCTATTTGGCTGTAGTTTGTTTAAAAAAAAAAAATAGTACAAATTATGAATTTTAATTAAAAAAAAAAAGATCTAACCCCTAATCTGACCCATGACAATAAAGGCACTGTGTTTTTCTTTTGTTTGTTTGTATGTTTGTTTAAAAAAAATGTATTGCTGTAAAGTTGGCTTAATTGTGTGGTTTCAGTATAAAGTGTGGGGATTTTAATTTGTGAAGCATCATCTACCAACATTGCAACCAACCCGTTTCATCCCAGAAAAAAAAGACAAAGCAGGCAGATTTAAAAACGACTCCTTTAATGACCACTAAGTGTCGCCATTACACCATAAAACGTCGCTATAATAACCTCGGGAGATACTATTTGGATGATGTCCCCCATTTTCCGGACTATCACGGAAAAAGCCGAAGACTCCCCACTGAGACAGCTGAAGGCAACCCGTAGTTCAGATGGTAGAAAGCTGCACCTCCACAGCTCAATCTGCTTTTCTTATCTGCACTTTTCTGTAACAAATGAAAGAAAAGTCAAGAGTTTGTCTAAAGGATACATTAGTCTCGCATTCTCTTTTATTTTTTCAGATTTGCAAAAGGAAGAAAGAAACTTCCTAAATAATCATGGGGTGAATCTAACATTTGAGGATCATTTTCGGGTGATGAAGGAGCGCCGTCAGAAAACTCAGACGTGAGTTACAATTAAAGACTTTCTCTCACTAAGATGTCTTTCCGGGGTGCTTTTGAAATAATTCAGGCAAAAATGATTCCCACACCTTTTGCTGCCTGCAGGTTGTGGATGTGTATAATAGTTTGTTGCAGCAGCATGCATCCTCTATAGCTGCGTTTCAAGCGGAAATGCTGAATTATAGATCAACTTTATTTCTATTTTCATCATTTGCTGTCCCACTGAGAGCTCAGCTTCAGAGCATTTCATCATTCACAGTTGGAAGATGATTTGTCTGTTAATAATAGCTGTCTTCCCTGTTGTAAATTGTAAATAAAAAATAAATATTATCATTAGTTGTGTGTTTAACTTTGAGTATTTCAATCACTAATTTATTTACTTTAGTTAATTAATAAAAGAAGATAAATAAAGCTCTAATTTTAAACAAAAAGTTTTCAGGTTTCATAAAATGTTATTCTCATTAAAAGACATACATGTAACTTTAGGCTTTAATTTCTTTGTTTTTTTTTGTTTATTTTTCTTTTGCAATATTTTAATAGCTGCGTGGAGAAGTGAAGCACTATGCTGGTTCATCTGTTGCTGCACACTGCTGCTCCGCTGGCTTAACTGAGACTCACACTTTTCTTTTGTTAATAGTAAACAACATTAACAACTCAATTAAATAAAATCTGTTTAACTGTATATGATTTCAACAAAAAGCAACAAAGAAATTGTCTAACCAACTTGATTTTTTGCTGTTATTTTATGCGTTGAAAGAATAGTAAGAGCTTTTCATGTTTCAGAATTTGGTCTGCCGATCAAAGTAGGTAAAAATTGGGTAAGTGAGATCCCTGCTCAGTTAATTGATGCATTGCTGCAAAAGGCTGGGGAGAAAGTCTTCTCTGTTAAATATTGCTTCAAAGCTTTGGAAGGAAAATGTTTCTTTTCACTTAAAATCAGATACACAACCATGGGATTTTATTATCTAAAACCAGTTCAAGCTTTTTGTGAACAAAGATCTATTCTACTTTTATATAGAAATGAAACATTAATGAAGACCTACTTTATGTGAAGAATTGAGATAGAAAAGAAATGCTGAAAGAAATGTTTCACGTCATGTAAAATGTTCAAGCTCAGGCTTTTTGTTTTTATCTAATTGTTTCTATTCTGTTTGTAGTTGAAAGCTAATTCAAACAGTTATTCAATATTTCTAAATATTTAGAAGACAAGTTGATTGTCAACTTTTGTCAGTTGTCAGGGTCTAGTTATAGGCAAGGCAAGGCAAGGCAAGGCAAATTTATTTTTATAGCACAATTCAGTACAAAGACAATGCAAAGTGCTTTACATGATTAAAATACAGGAAGATAAAACAGAATCAAAGCAAGTAGGAAAAAATAAAAAACAAATAAAATAAAAAATGCAGAAACAAAAAAAGAAGTTGGATTAAAGAAAACATGTTTTTGTTGAACTGTTTAACTAGAACAGTCGAAGGCAATCCTAAACAAATGTGTTTTTAGTCTTGATTTAAAGGAACTCAGGCTTTCCGCACTTTTACAGTTTTCTGGAAGTTTGTTCCAGATAAGTGGAGCATAGGAACTAAACCCTGCTTCTCCATGTTTAGTTCTGGTTCTAGGTATGCAGAGCAGGCTGGAGCCAGAAGACCTGAGTGGTCTGGAGGGTTGATACACTGATAGCAAGTCTGTGATGTATTTAGGTGGTAAGCCATTCCGAGATTTATAGATTAACAGAAGTATTTTAAAGTCTATTCTCTGAGATACAGGGAGCCATTATATAAGCTATTATATTTAACCATACCAACTGAATTTCACAGCATTTGTTGGCTTTATTTAAACAAATGAAATAACTAAAATTTAAATCACTACACATATCACCCAACAAATGTTTTTTGTCTGCAGAATTCTGTTTTAGAAATAATTGAACAAAACCTATAAGCTATTCAGAATTAAGGGAGAAAAAGACAACTACAGTCCCAGTTTGAATTTGAACCCCAATGTCCCGCACATCAAATGAGGAAACTCCCATAAGAGATGGATCTGTGGAGCTCTACGGGGACAAGGACAGAGGGGGCACTTGACCCCCATGAAACCTGATTAACTTATTTCAATTCAATTTTTTTTATATAGCGCATATTCACAACACATGTCATCTCAAAGCACCTTACAGTTATCCAGATCATACAGTCAAATTGATTCAAAGTTTTCTATCTAAGGAAAACCAGTTGATTGCATCAACTCATTGACTCGAATGCAATCCCTCACACTAAGCATGCTTGTAGCAACAGTGGAGAGGAAAAACTGAATTTTAACAGGAAGAAACCTCCAGCAGAACCAGGCTCAGTGTGAGCGGCCATCTGCCGAGGGAGACTGGGGTTCAAGGAGACAGAAGCAGAGATACAGAAAGCAGCTGTAAAAGGCGGCCCCGTCCAGGAAACACACAGCCAGGCAGACGAGCTCCGAGCCAGCTCCCGTGTCAGAGGATAAAGAGAGCACATCCAGCCAGTCACACTCAGAGAAACAGGACTACACTGGAAAAACAGGCAGATCTCCAACATCTATAAACAATATCAGATCACTGCTGTACAGGACTTGATAGTGTGCAAATGCAGAACAATAAAAACCTAACCTTAAATATGAAATGAGACATTTTTGAGAGACATCAGGTTACTGCTATCTGCGATCTTAAAGGATCTCTGCAGCATAGCATTTCTACCACCACAATGTCCTTCTCTCTCATATCCAACCTTCTGCATCCTTCCCTTCATCTATCTAGCTTCTCTGTGGTTTTCCTCCTCATCAGAATATGGTCATTCTTATATTCATTCCTTCATTTATTCAATATCCCCACCATTCCCCAATATTAATCTGCTGTTTTCTGCTTAGGCCATTATGAATTATAATCACAAGCAGCAGGTGAAACTATTATTTACATTTGTTGTTAAGACATAATTTTGTATGTTAACGTTGTCATAAATGCATTTGCATTTAACCATGTTATACTGCTAGATATTGAATTTGCATGTCTTCAGTCATGCTTACAAAGTTATTTACCAGCTGTAAAACAAATAGTGTTAGGGACAGGGGGGCAAATATTAGGTGCATGCTGAATTATGACTCCTAATGCAACATGGCCTTCTGGCGGAGGTTTATTTTAGCATGTTTAACTACACGAAAAAACAACAAAATAAAACAGCTTATGTTTATTGTGCTCTCATATCTAGTGGTCAAAACCTGAAAAATTAAACACAGAATGCTTACAGAGTTCTTCAAGTGTTTCAAACCAAAGAAAAGAGGAAATTAACGCAGTCTGAAGACGTTCCTTAATTCATCACCTTATCATCAAACAAATAGTCTAAAACCAAAGGTCACTTTGAAACATAATGATGATTGTTAATAAAAACATTGCAACCAAATCTTAACCCATTAAGCAGGCCTCTCACTTGATGAGTTAAAAAATGTCTCACTGATCATGGTTCATTTTGAGTCTCTGCCCTCATGCACCACACCTGTCAGGTTGTGTGGAGGTTTTTAGAGGGCAGAGAAAGTAGCTGAGGTGGTTTCTTCCAGATTTAATGAAAAAAAAACTTAAAAATACAAAGTCCAGAACTCATCAACAAGAAGAACTCAAGAACCAAAAAAGCTAGGAGACATGAGGGAGGAATAAACGAAGAGTAACTGAACAAGATGTGCATATATTGGAGACAGAAACAATGAGAGGACTAATTAGCTGATAGGGAGCAGGTGTAGACAGAAGTAACTAGAAGGAGCTAAGGGAAAAGGAGACTGGCACAAAGGAGCATGAGAGAGTAACTTAAAAAATACAACACTGCTTAAATATAACACAGAATGGAAAAGAGACCAATGGGCAAGAAAACACAGAAAAGCATAAATCAAAGCGTAACTGAGAACTTAAAAACAAACTTAAATAGAAATCCACAAATGGCAGAATCATGACAACACCTTTCAAAGAGTTTCCTAAGACAAAATTGTCATTAGTGACCAATAAACCTGTCAGTGGGAAGCTTGGGGAAAGATGCAAGATATGTTATAAACTAAATATGGATTTTCTTGTTTTTCTTAGCTTTTGCATTTTCTTTAGCAATAGAGAGAGATTAAAATGTCATTAAACTTCATTTTTAGACTAGAAGAATTTCTTTCAATTGAACTGTTTTGTATAAATTGTTATACATTTAATTTTTTCCTAAAAAAAAAAAAAATATTAGCTTATGTTTCAATGAATCATTAGCATTATACTTAAAGCTCATGCTCCTGGAACACCAGTGGTCTGGGACATCATAGCTTATTCTAAACACCTAAAAAACAATGAAGGAATTAGGAGTTCCAGTGTGGAAAAATGCCAGTTTTAGTGTATTTGTGTTGACGACATCATTAGAAAGGAAGAAAGAATTAAAAAATATATATTTCAATCATAAAAAGAAAGGGGAAAAGAACATAAATACACATCAACAGACATATGAGAGGCACATGATAACCTTATAGCCTTACAATAAGATATGCAAAAATGACTTAGTGTTACATCTGTCAGTCCCTATTCACAACTTATTTTAAGACCTAATTATGTGTTCCTCAAACAAGCAATCCACCCACATAAGATTTTTACTTCAACACTGCTGATGCCAGTACAGTCAGCTGAAGCCAGGTCATGTGACCATATAACTCAGGATGATGTGATTAAATACGAGCAGGAAGAAAGGGAAAGATTCAGGAACAAAGTCAGATCACTCTGGCTGAAATACCATTATGCTCACATTAGGCCAACACCAGAGTCCTCAGGTCATTTTTCACATTTACCAATTTCTTAGATCATTTACCAATTAGAGACCTTATAGCATTAGGGCATCACATTTTAGCCGCACTTTACCTGAAGCTGTAACACAGCCTGCGGCTGTGAATGGCCCCTGTCACTGCTGTTAGATGGTGCAGAGCAACTGACCAGAAATTACGCTGAATCAAAGCAATTAAAAAATACAATGAATATAATATTAGGTAACAGAAACAAACAATAACAGCAAGTTGTTTACTTAGTATCACTTTTTCTTCAGTGAAATCTTCTATAAAACAGAGCTTCTAAAACTGAGTGAGAGATTCCTTGAAACTTGACTTGTTGCTAAGCAATGTTGAACCAACATTTGCAAACAAAACTGGGTTGAATTAGATTTTTTTTCCCCTGGCAGTGGTATTACCTTCATATTGGGAAAGGTACTTTAAGCAACAACTGGAGGAGGAACGTCTGCGAGTGAGTGAAAATGTCAGAAACATTTGCACAGATTTAAAGCTTAATATAAACGTGGTAATGAATTCATTTGGAGGGAGATCCTACTGCGTAGTTTTCACTGTCAGAATGTGTTCACTGTGTGGGTGTGTATACTGGGAGTGCAGTAAATTAGCTTGTGCAGGAGTTATTTGTGCACTTACTGTTTTTATTACTTTCTTTTTTGCAAGCTTATTACCTGGAGAAATTTGCATGGTTTTGTGTACAGGTTTGAAATAATGTATTTCAGTACCCTTTACTTATGTGTTTTACCACACTGATGTATATGAAGTCATTTGTAATTCAAAATTAACCAGAACTTATATGGAAAAAAACAAATGTTATATTTCCTTTACAAAATGGAAAAAGTTTTAACTTCAAATGATGTAAATGCATCTAAGAAAATCAATTGCAGACCTAGATGAGACTAGATTCCGACCTCCACTAAAAGGTCTAAAAAGAAAACCTGCATCTGTACAGATAGTGGAGGCAGAAGAAAAAGTCTTGGTGATGCACAAATGAACTTTTGGAACAACATTACATAAGATTTAGTTTTTAATATTCTTACTGTTGTTGTTTTCAGCTACACATGTGCCTGTTTATCAAACATTAACTATCTACTGTGATGTTCTTCCTGTCTGTTGAGCACTTCACTGAGCAGATAACATGACAGAACCAACCATGCTGGTGCTATGCTAATGGTTATTTTTATGCAGCTTTATTCATCAATGCAAAGCTTAAATTTGCCTTTTAAAAAGCAACACGATTCATGATGATTTCAGGAACTAAATATGAAAATTCCAAAACCTAAGTATGATTTCAACCTTATTTAGTGATTTTACAAAAAGAAACGGGTTCACCCACAGAGCTATAATTAGTTGAAAAGACATTGAAAAGACGACATGATTTACATCCAAACGATGTCTACAGTTGGTTGAAAAATGAAAGGTGAAAAGCAGTAATTTTCAAATCGTTGAAACGACGATTAAATCTGGGTTTGTAGCATCATTTCAATGTCAATTATTGGACTAAAGTGGGACAAAATCAGACCGACCCAACACAGAGCCCAATTTTCAACAACTATTTCTGGACTAAAAGACTATAACGTACCGACCAGATTTAGCCTAAAAGCCAACATCAAAAAAATGTATGGTGTATGGGGTGACTTTGGGTTTTAGAGTCTTTTAATCCCTAGTTAGTTCATAGGCCAAATTTAAGTGACTTAACAAACAAGAAAACAACAAAGGCCACTGATACTGCTGTACTACACTGAAAAATCTCAACAACACGCTTTCAAAGATTTTAAGACAACTTGGCGAAGCTTTAAAAGATCATAAGAAAGTGTGGCTGATAGGAAAGATGTATAAGGAAATGCCAACATCCCACAGGTGGGATGAAAATGTAACTCCACATGGATATAGAGATAGTCAAATAGATTTTTTACAACAAAAATTATATACATGACAAATGCCGTTCTTCATTTTAAGATTTCGTTCGGTTTGATATACTGTAGGTCACTAACTATAGAGTAGTATGCTTAAATCAAATGCTGTTTTATCGATATGTAAATTTGAAAACCTTTTTAATTAGGGTTTATATTTCTTAGATCTCTTTTTGCCAAAAAAAACCTGCCCAACAAAATAGATCAACATAACATTGTTTTAGGGCAGCCTTAAGTATATAAATGCAGTCTTCAAGTTTGATTGTTTAGCAGCAGGACAACGGTCTCATTTACACCCACTGAGAGGCTTAGAGGTCTTCAGGGGTAGATAATTTCCTCTAGTGAGAATTTTCCTGCTGACAGTCCACTGATTGTTGTTGTTCTTGTATTATCTTTGTTTAGTGTTTGTATTATGAAAAAAAAACTAAAAGAAACCAAAGATCTTTTTAAGACGAGACTTTAATGCTTTTCACTCTCGTTGCTCTCTGTCAATTCCAGTAAAAACACATAAGTAAAAAGATCATTAAATCACCAGTATAAAAAGAGGCGGAACTGCAACAAAGACAAAGATTCATGGTCACCTCATTATTTTTAAAGGCAGAATAAAGGCACAGAAACCTCTCATCGTCACCATGAGCTGCTCCGTCAACAAATGCAGCAGCTGGACACAGAAGAAACTGTCAAAGTGCTTGTTTTTATTTTTTTATTTTTTACAGTGGAATATCTTTTGAGGTCATTTAACTTCCAACATCATTCTCTGTTTTTTGTGATCAATAATACATTCAGAGCAGTTTTATTAAATTTCGTTTCAAACCCTTTAAACCAGTATAAACCTTTAAAGGTCACTGAGTAAAGATGTATTTAGACAAGTTTCAATGTATTTAACTGCCCAGCTAAGAACGAAAAGACAATCATAGATGTTTGCTTTACACTAAAAACTTCAGGGATTTAGAGTCAGTGTAAAATTACACCACAATTCAGGTCAAAGGAGAGCCTACTTTAAGCTGCATTTTATAAGAGCTAGTCTTTAATAAGATAATAACTAAAACTGGCCAGATCTTGCACATTGTTGATGAGTAATCAGTGATCTCCATTCTGTATTTTGAAGATTCCACCATGGTGAAGGAGGCTTTGCCCAGCTGGGTCCATCAGGACTCTGAAGAAGGTCTCGTCAATGTGAATGTCGGAGGCTTGAAGAGGAGTCTCTGTTCTAGCACACTGAAGAAATTTCCAGACACCAGGCTTGGAAAACTGTTGGCTTGTGATTCAGAGGAAGATATACTGCAGGTGGGCCCCAATGCTTTAGTAGGTGGTACACAAATATTAAGGTTCCCACTTTTAATTGATCCTCCTTTATCCTATAGGTGTGTGACGACTACGATGTACAGGAGAAGGAGTTTTATTTTGATAGGAATCCTGGTCTGTTCCCTTATGTGCTCCACTTTTACCAGACTGGCAAACTTCACGTAATGGAAGAACTCTGTGTGTTCTCCTTCAGGTCTGTTTTGATCTCATCCCTCATGTCACTTAGAAAAAACTTAATGCAAATCAAATTTATTTTGCAAAAGCCTCCACATTTCACCTGCTTTAATGAGGCGCTAAGTGTAGAGTGGCTGCTGTGTAAGCTATCGGGACTACAGTAATTGAGGTTTTCTTGCACATGCACCAGATCTATGGTTTAGTATCCTGCACTGTAAGCAGATATAGTAGCTGCTCTTGTGAAGACTAGACTAATGTGGTCGTTAATAACACATTAATAGTGTCTTTTCCTTTTCCCTGAAAGCTACAGTACAGTTTAGAAGTCAGAAAAACAATTGCTTAACCTTATTTCCTTTATACAACTATTGAATAGATATAAGTGAGGAAAGTATTTCTATTTACCTAATGTTCAATCGATTCTCCCAACCACTGTTTTTTAAGTGAGCTTGCACTTATATCAAATGTTTGGGATACCAAGCTGAATTGCTGTTTTTTTTTTTTTTTCTTGTCCTCCACAAAGTCAGGAGATAGAGTATTGGGGCATCAATGAGTTCTTTCTGGACACCTGCTGCAGCTATCGTTACCATGACCGCAAGCTGGAGAGAGGCCGGCACCGCTGTTGGGATGACGAGAGTGAAGTTAGCAGTGTCGACACATCTGTGGATGAGATCTCAGATTTAAACAAGTCAGACATCGTAGTCCTCTTAGCAGAATATTTTATTGCTGGATCTGGCCCTGAAACTGCCATTTTATAGTTAAACATGAAGTCATCTTCTCTCCTCTCAGGGACATACAGCACTTTCAGGAGGTCCGCTATGGGAACATCAAAAAGTGTTTATGGCTCACACTGGAGAACCCCGGATACTCCATCCCGAGCAAGCTCTTCAGTCTGCTCTCCATCGGAGTGGTGATCACATCAATCGTGACTATGTGCATTAACAGCATCCCAGAGTATCAGGTTGGTGCGGAAGACATTCAGAGATTAGTTAGACGTGCCTCTGATGGGGAGCCAATTATAGCATCATATCTATTGATTAGCAACTCTAAAATAGATGAGGAAAACTGAAGTGCACATCTGTGCTAGTTAAAACTTCCTCTTTGAACACTGTTTAATTTAAGATTCTGTAAATTAAATCAAAAATACTTAATTTACTCTAGAAAGCTATTAAACATCAGGTTGTAATCCTAACTGGAACTGTGTTGCATCTTCCTGAAACAAAAAGCAGAGACAGTGGAAATCAGCACTAATGAAAGATTTCTATACTTTGGAGAAAATGACAAGAGTAGAAACCACTTTCAGATAATTAATTTGTTCCATGATTTAAACATTGAGATTGCCTTGTGATCAGCTAAGAGGTCCTAGCATGGAATGGTGGGTTAAAGTTGACTAGCCGTAGAACTTTACAATGACTTTGTGGTGATATTTGTTGGGAAATAAAACTCATCTGAATTGAAATATGATTTAAATAAGAAATTGAATGTGGATGCTGTGAAAAAAGGAAGATTTTGCAAAATAGTTCTGATTTTTATCATCAAGGTGGCAGTATTAATTTACTTTTATTTGCTAAACTACTGTGAAATAACTTGGGTTATTGTATTTTTTTTATTTTATTTCACAATTTGCTGTTCCCTTGTGGAGCTTTCCTCTATGACTAGCTTACTTACACTGGATGTAAGGTATGTGTTTGGCTTTGACACCATCCTGGAGAGAAATATCAGCTGTGCTGCTGCCATCAACACCTTTGTTTATAGATGTTTGAGATCAGCCTGTTTTTTCAGTGTAGTCCTGTTTCTCTGACTCTGACTGGCTGGATGTGCTCTCTTCATCTTCTGACATGGGAGCTGGCTCAGAGCTCGTCTGCCTGGCTGTGTGTTTCCTGGACTGGGCCGCCTGTGGAGTTGGTTGACAGTTGCCTGTGTTTTCTGCTTCTTTCTGTATATCTGCTTTTGTCTCCTTGAACCCCAGTCGGCCTCTGCAGATGGCCGCTCACACTGAGTCTGGTTCTGCTGGAGGTTTCTTTCTGTTAAAAGGGAGTTTTTCCTCTCCACTGTTGCTACAAGCATGCGTAGTGTGAGGGATCACCTTCGAGTCATTGACCCGATGCAATCAAATGGTTTTCCTTAAAAAAAAAAAAAAAAATGGAATCAATTTGACCTTGTGATCTGGTTGAATTGTAAAGTTCCTTGAAATGACATGTTGTATTTTGACACTATATAATTAAACTGAATTGAAATTGAATATTTTTGACAATTATCTATAGTATTCCTGATGTTTTTAGTGATAATGCTTTAAAAAGGAAGTGATATTTTATTTTCAAACCTCTGGCCGTTCTGAGGAGGAGGAATCATACCAGCATCAGCATCCATTGTTCAATGAAACACACACAATTATAACCCAAGCTGAATTAAGGTTTCGGGTAAATTTTAGAACAGGATAGAACACATCTTTTGAACCTTACTCAAGTCCTTTAAGTTTTAAGATTTAAAAATACATTGTGAAGTAATTTCTAATGAATGTTAAAAAAGATTATGCTTTTTAGCAAATGGAAAAATGAATGCTTGTGAGTTTATAAAAGTTTAATGATAAACATGTCAAACAATTAAAAGCAGCTTAAGTTCAGCTCCACTGCAGAAACAGGTTACAATAATCAAGAAAAACCTTGTATTGCTTAGTTTACCAAAGAGCTTACCATTGATTGGCATTGATAAGGATAAAAAGAGAAAAAATATATTGTTCTTATTTTATTTTCTGAAAATGATGTATATTTTGTGTCTTTATATGCTTTTTCTTTTCCTGTTTTTTAACAGACTTTTGACTCTGATGGGAAGTTAATTGAAGACCCAACCAATCAGGCTCTAGAGGTGTTCTGTACTTGTTGGTTCACCTTTGAGGTGAGGACATAGTAACATGATGTTTTGTCATTCAGGCGATGTCTGCAGGTGGAAACCAAACACTTTGCTCTGTTTCTAATATCAGGTTGTGATGCGGCTCCTACTCGCCCCAAACAGGAGGAAGTTCTTCCATCACCCTCTAAACATTATCGACCTGGTGTCTGTGGTTCCAATCTACATCACCGTTATATTTGACATGACTTTGGGCTCTGAGTCCGAACTGGGAGACCTTGGGCGACTAATACAGGTTACTGGTGTATCTGATTCCTCTTCTCACAATATAGAATGGAAAAAACTCATTTCTGAGTTGGATTTGATTTCGGTGCAATAAACTGTATGAGTTATTTTAGGAACACAACATGTTTTTGTAATTGTAAATAAATTAAGGAAGGCAGATCTCTTTTTACCACAAACATCTCTTCTTCCTGAAGCTGAGGTGACAGATACAGCCATTTCAAAACACATGGGAGGTGATTTTAAAACTTCTAATTCTAATCTAATAAATTTTAGGTTTGTGCTCATTACAGGCTGTGCAAAAACCAACCTGTAGGTTTTTAACCTCACTAATTTGGACAGGAGTGTGTAGTACATGTTACCAGCCTGCATAGTTGGCTCTAAAAGCCCTTTAAACCACTGCAAGGTGAGTCATCTCAGCAACAGTGGAAACTATACAAATTAAGGAGAATACTGCATCATTGCCTCATTATTGCGCCTCAGCTCATGACTGTTTGACTAAAGTCACAGAAACATTTTCTTTGTATCAGAGACAGGACTTGTCTTTCTCCCAGGTGTTCAGGTTAATGAGGATCTTCCGAGTTTTAAAGTTGGCTCGACACTCCACAGGTCTGCGCTCTCTGGGAGCAACACTTCGGGTGAGTCAGTGTCTGTCCTCCTCATAGGTTTATAACTTCAAAGTTTGTGACACAGTAATCTGAAGACTTACTGCATCACAGATGCCAACATGAAATTGATATCAAAGATAATTCACAGACTAATCTCAGTCAATTAAAATATAATTGGATGGTTAGTTTATTTCATCAATCAGAATAAACATTTTATTGCCAATTAGTGTTTTTGTTTTTATGAAGAATTTGCTTTGGTGATAAGTTGCTACAGATAAAGAAAAATACAGCTGATATGGATAAACGTGGAAATAAATAATGCAGCATAACCAAACGCAAGTAGTGTAGGAATAATAGGTAATTAAGAGAATAGTACAACTCCATAGCAGAGAAAAAGCAACATGGCAGATATGAAAAACATAAAATAACAACCCTATGATATTAATTAAATAGTTTTAAATGTGTAAAGATAGTTTGTTATTTGCAGAGATTGTTAATCCAGGTTCAGCAGCTAAACAGCGAGTAGAGATTAGCTCCACCCACTAGTATTTAAAGCACTAAATCATTCATGTGGATTAAAAAAACCTAAAACTCAAATATTATCCTGTATAACCTGGTTACATATGGAGGGATACTGTGTGTTCCAATCACTATGTATTTATTTGTTTTGATTGGTTGGTTGGGATAGTCTTCTAAAATGGGGTGTAACTGCCTAGTGGTTAGGGCATAGAGCTTGAAATCCTGAGGTTGTGAGTTCAAATCCGCTCCTACAGACTGCCACTCTGGGTCGCTGAGCGATGGCACCCCACGATGGCAGCCCACTTTTCCCAAGGAGGATGGGTTAAATGCAGAGGTAAATTTCTCCAACGTGAGATCCGTAAAGTTCAGTTATTATTATTAATATTTTAAAAACCTGAAATATTCTTTGTAAAAACCGTTCTGAGAAACTATATAAAACAAAAGTCAAAAATTTACTTGTACTGTAATACAGAAATATCTATCTGGTGGAAAGTATGCTTCAAGTGTATCAAGTGTATGGTCAAAACTTAAATATGAATTACTGCATCACTGCAGCACAGCGTGGAGGTGGTCACCTTGAAGGAAGCCTGTGTCTGTGGCGTCTCTCCTAAAGCAGATTGCCACTTTTGGTTGTGTGGACATCTGCCAAGTCCTGCTGGAAAATGACATCAGCATGAAGTGCTCTTAAAGTTTTTGGCAGATGACTTTGGTCCTGATAAAACACAGTGGGCCAATATCAGCAGATGAAATGGCTCCCTAAATCAAAAGGGCATTGCATACGTGTGTGGGGGGGGGGGTCTTGAAGGGCTTACTCCAACTGCAGTCCACACTTTGTCTATGAATAAAACTTTTAAAACAGCTTTGCTTTACAATTCTGTTAAGGCTGTGATTATCCCTGCTGCTTGTGTATCTTTCTCTGTCTATGAGTCCTCTTTAAACAGCCAGCCAGTTTGCCAAAGCATTTATAATGATTATCATCTGCTGGACAATTGATATGTCAGCATTCCTAATCATGACTGGAAGAGGTGAATTGATAGTTTCTCATTAAAGAAAACAAATATTTTATTGTAATGTTATATGGGAACATTTATTTTGAGAATCCATTTACCTAAGCTAAATAATTAAATTAATATAAACTCTTCTGATACATTGGCGTGGGCAAAGGTTTCCCTTTTATAACTGAATTGCTGAAAATAAATACATTCTGAAATTATCTTTAATAACTGAGGTGATGCCTTAATAAATCACACATAATTAAGGATGGAAAAACACAAATGTGGATCTTTGAAAGATGTGTTTTTAATGGTTGTGAATTTCAACAGAATATCAATATCAAGTAATCCCTGAAGCCCACTCTTAATCTTATGTGAGACAGACCTACAGGTTAGAGTCCAGCTTAATTGGCTAATTAAACGCTCTCATCTTGAGCAGATTCTAAGAAGCTGTTGCTCAGCACATTGGGTGGTACAGCACTTGGTCATTTAAGCTGTAGCCCTCTTATTCATTATTAAAAATAGTAATAGAAATTATTGACTGAGATGTATCAGAGAGAAGCAAACAGGCAAACAGTTTAAGAAAAAAGCAAGTCTAAGGCATGTGTACACGCTCCCCATTAGACACAGGTTTAATTATTCCCAGCCTGGTTGCACTCAGCTGACCCTGGCTGTTTGAAGGTCTGCTTCACTCAGATGCTCTTTCCTCTGTCCAATTAGTGGCCAGTGTAGCAGATGTTCTGCATGCAAAATTATACAAGAAGAACATGATGTTTAAGTCATGCCTTCCTAAATATAAAATGTTTATTATTTGATAGCAGAATTAACATTGAAGGTCATGCTAGCCATATTAATTGAGTCACTTCACTGAAGGTCTGTCTGTACTTACGACGAGCAGATGATATTCTATGTAAATCTAGTGCTACAATGTCTGTTGGATGCATCCTTAAAGAAAATATGTGCGTGATACAAGCATAGACGTTCTAGTGTTAGATGCTGAATCTGAAGCCGCTTTCAGTAGCTTATGTTACATAGATGGTTTTTACATCTGAGTTAGGAAGAGAGGTTTACACTGCAAGCAGGATGAATATGTTAATCCTCTGGGATACAAACCAAGACAGGATTTTCTCAAATAAAGTGCTAAACTTTTTCAATGTTGCAGATTTACATGATACTAATATTTATGACCACATCTACAATTATTGTTGAGAGTTTATTACTAATCACATTATAAACTTTAAATCAAGATCATTTCTGATTTCAAGAAATTACATTTACCAGTACAAGAACAAAGAGCAATAAGTGAGTTCATTTTGATGGTAGTTTCCAATTTATTCTCAAAATCTGGTTTAGAAAGTATCTTCAATCAAACAGATTTTGTATAAGGAATCTATCATCAGAGGAACACAAAAAAAGGACAACCTATCCCTGTTTTTTCCTTTTAAATCCAAGTATTTTCTATCTTTTACTTGCAGGGAAAATAATAGGAACAATCAAAACCCATCAGCTATATTTAGCAGCAGGCAGTGTAGCATTACTGCATCAATGTACTGTACGAGTCCAAGCTGTGTTTTATTTTTAGTCGACTAAATTGACTGAGGATGTTCTTCTGTGTTTTCCTAGGAGAAGGACTGGGTTGCATGACACTTTGAATAAATGTCAGTTCAGATTTCCTATCCTTTAAATGTGACTTCCACCAATTTTTCATGATTGCCAGCATAACAAATGTCTTTCTACTTCATCTACATACTAAACTAGAGTAAAACAGCATTTTTTGGACATTTAAAAGTTCACTCAGATTGCTTGGCCTCATTCTTGACATTTTTGTTAATGTTGGCAAACTCTGATTGTAGCTTTATGAGAAACTTATGGTGTAAGATAAAAAAAAAAAGAAAAATCTTTAACAGGTTTATAAATCTATCAACCAATTACTGTTCAGTGTTACAAATATAGAAACATGGAAGACAGTGACTAAACTTTCTCAGTGTCTTTTTTAATTTTACTGCTGATTTTTTTTTTTATTCTTTTTATTTATTTTTTTTTTGTTGTATCTGCAGCACAGTTACCGTGAAGTGGGGATTCTGCTGCTGTACCTTGGTGTCGGAGTGTCTGTATTTTCTGGGATTGCTTACACCGCTGAATGTGAAGAGGTAAAGTTTAAGCTATGCTTAGTAGTTCAGAAACCCCATATAAAGCCTGATTTTCAGAAAGTTTGCACATCTTCAAACAAGTGCAAATGTATTTACACATGCAGAGCAGATCTTCAAAGAAGATGGGAAATGGCAGATAGCACGAGCAAACCTTTTTTTGGGTGTTTGCCTTCATCAAGATGCAGCTCATATTATAATAACCAAACTGCACAAATTCATGGATGGATTCTATGAAATTGTAATCATCTAGTATCAATGTGCTTTAGAGAAAGTGAATTTTCAAATTGGAAACTCAAGCTGCTGTCGTTTTTGCATCCTTTTTAGTAGTTCGGAGAGTCAGGTGCAACTTGACATGCAAAAATATCTGCATTTTTGCCACAAAAGAGGCATTTGTACAATGCCAGAGCAGGTAGAGATGCTGTATTATGTGTAATTGAAAACATATTTGGACACACACAAAAAAAAAACACAGTGGGGTAATATTAATAAAGCAAAATATTTTTTTACACATGCCAAATTAATAAAAAAGACCTAACTTAAATATTGTTGACTGTTCATATAGAAAATAAATTATCAAAATAGCCTGCAAAGAGACATGGGAGGGGGGGCACATCTCTTTTTTATCGCAATAGGGATTTTGGTTCTCCCTCAATTTAATAAAACATAACCGTGCAAGAAGCATGGTTGTGTTTTATTAAATTCTTAAGCACCTACGTTGTTTTACTGGATATCATGTCATGGTGCTGCTGAGAGGAGCTGGTGGAGATACGTCTAGATGTTTGGAGCAATATCTGGTTCTATATCTATGAGCAGACAAGAAATACTTTTTCATGTTTTATGAAACCTATCTGTATTTTTTATATTTAAGTTTAAATTCAATATTTTATAATAAAAATAGTCTACCTGTTCTGGGTGCATGATAATTATTTTGTAATTTCATTGTTTTTTAATAGTTATTATTATTGGCATGGCTTTTAACCTCATCTTTCTTAATGACCACTCAAAAACATCCAGTAAAACACAATGCTTATTTTATTGCTTATTTGCTGCTTATTTTATTGGGCAGAATGAAATCAGTTTGCAAGTCTTAGTATTTGCATAACAATCTTTGTACTTCAACCAAAATATGCCCATTTATAGCACGTACCTACTATAAAAGAACTATACACCTAACATCTCTTTTTGGAATGTTTGAAGATCCAGCCCATAGTGTAATTGTATCCATAATATAAATTCTAAGTGTTAATTTTAAACAAATTAGATTGTTATTTAAACCCTTACATTGACAGTTTTTTTTATTTTTTTTTTATTTTGCTCTTCCAGCAGGAAAGGTTACTCTCCTTACCCTCCACTTTGACCCAGAATTAAGTGTTTTTTTTGCATTGAGGCTAATGTACATTTTCAAGTACAACGAGCTTTGCAAGAGTCTGATATGCTATAACTTTTGAAATTCCCTTAAGTACTGAAAATGTGTATGACCATAAAATGCTGTAACAACTATTTTGAGTTCTGTTCACTTATTATAGATGTTATTCCCAACAAACGTCATTATAATGTACTTTATGAGGAAATTTGCTTAAAATCATATCTCCATAAATAGACTCAGTCCAATTTTAATTCAGATTAATCTAATCTAATGAATCAGAATCCCTTTCAGTTAAATCTGATTCATTCCAGTCAAACACTAAAGCATTGGGCCAGAAGTGCCTTCCATAGGAATGAAAACACACAGTTAGTGCTGCTAATGGCTCTGTGAATGGCTTTATCCAGGAAGGAGACACGGCTCTACCCAAACGGAATAGCCTCTGTAGGAGAGAAAAAACAAAAAGGGTGGAAACACAGGTAAAAGCAGCAATAGGTCTATTAGGAACTCTGCATTAAATAGAGACACTGCTAAACTCTGAAGCACTGACACAGTACATTTTTATAGAAATGGAAAAATCGATGATAGGATTATTAGCAGGAACTCTATTAATGGCTCTGCCAAAAAGGATTATAAGCTAAATACTTTGATGCAGTTCTTTCTACAGGACAGAAAAAAAAAAAGATGGTAAAAAAAAAAAAGGTTAAAGCAGAAGCACTGAGACCAGGCATAGAAAGAAAACAGAGTTCAATATCACAATAACTGCAAGTAGTGCATAAATATGAAACTGTGAGGAAAAACAGAGGTCTTCCAACAGCCTAAGCTTAACTCCAGTCCAGTGACTTTTTTGTTGGAAAGTTGGCTTATCTGTAATAAATAATAAATCGGATAAATTCTTTAGTCTTCCTGCAACAACATCCCTGTCAGTGTTGCCGTTTGCCACTTTTTATCCTTTTTTTGCACAGTTCAGGCCAAGGGATGATGCAGCACGCTTGGTCATTTTTTACTCCCAGTAGGTCTTGATTGTGTTTCAGCTGGTGAAATATTCATTATTTAAAGAAATATTCATTATTTATTTTTCCACAGTTTGGATCCTGTACTGCTTCAGTAATCTCTAGTGAATCTTTCGGTGGTTCTTCAATATTTCAGCAAATGCTGACATGCTGCCTAAAAAATATAAATGTCAACTTTTCTGGGAAAAGTTGAGGGAAATAATAGATGTGTAACAAAAGGTGAAATAAAAAGAGAAAATCTGGGAGAAGGAAAATGTTCTGCATAATGAGAAAAGGACAAGCTTAGACACCATTTAAATGGTACAGCTTGAAATAGTGTCAAAAACCAATTCCAGTATCCAGAGACTATAGAGAAGGTGTAAAATACACAAGTCTCTGCTTTAACTTCTTCCACTACAAAATGAGCCGCTGCAGGGGCTCCCTACTCCTCAGCTTACATGTACTGCCTTGCAAAACTATTAATACCCCTTAGATGTTTTTCACATAACATCCACAAATTGCATTATACACCTGTAGCAGCAACTAATTGTGAAGTGAAAAGAAAGAATTTTACAAAGAAAAATCTAGTGTATGCATGTTACTCTGATACTCTTTTAAACAATCCAGAGCAGCAATAACCTTTAGAAGTCAGCCAATAAGTAAATGCAGTTCTGCAACAGTTCTGAGGGCATCAGAGGTTTGTTAGAAAACAATAGTAAACAGACAGTATCATGAAGGTTATCAGAAAACAGGCTTTAATCTAAGGCAACTGGACTTTTGTTAGATTTTCTGAATTTGTCTGTGTTGTTGAAGTTGGTCATTGATTTGAATGTGACTTGAAATGTGTTTAGGAGGATGGACGTCAGCTTTTCTTAAACCCTCAGTGCTCCAACTACAGATTGCTATGGTGTGATGGTTCTCAATTCTGGTCATCAAGTACCACTGCACTGCATGTTTTAGATCTCTTCACTTAGAAAACCCCAATTGATATACGGTAACATAATCATTGACAGACTTCTGCAGGAGTCAATGGCTGCTGAGGATGTCATGCAATTACCATTTGAATCAGGTGTCCTGAAACAGGGACACCTATTGCATGCAGGGAAGTGGTATTTAAAGAACAGTTTTTTTCAGGATGATAGCAATCCAACAGAATTGAAAAAGACTCCTGCATTGATTTCAAAATGTCTTTAGAAAAACTGAGGAAAAGTTGGGTTACCTCAGATTTAAGCCCCATTTGTGGTTGCCATAACCCATGTGACTTGGAATACACAAGCAATAACATGAAGGCTTAAATTAGACAGGTCGGATGGTTTCAAATATAGCAAGATGGTAAAAATTCATATTGCAATGTTCATTCCTTTACCTAAAAAAAAAAAGGATGACACATTTTTAAATCTACCAAGAAATGTCCACCTTCCTAAACTGAAAGGGAGATACTGGGAGTAAGGCAAAAATAAATAGGCTCATGCAAAATGGAAAGATGGAATCCACTAATGAGATGGAAGAATCTGTCAATATCTCCACTAGCCTCTACTTTGTTGCCTTTAAAAACAGAAAGTTTATGTCCAAAATGTTATATATTTTAAAACTAACATGGAGTCAGTATTGACCTACAGAGATGCCACTTTTCAAGAGAACAGGGAGGCTGGTGAGAGTTTATAGGCAGATGATTGAAGCTAGATACAAAATCATTTACAGGAAATTATTTTTCAAGGGGGGACAATGAGCTTAAATAAAGCCAGAGCTACAAAGGAATGATTTGCATCAAAGATGTGGGGATTCAAAGAAGCACAAAGAGAAATGTCCCTGATTTATTGAGACTTTCAAGGGAAATAATGTTGAGAATATATCATCCTCAGTTTAAAGTATATTTATTTTACTTGTTTCAGGATGTGGGTTTGGACACAATCCCTGCCTGCTGGTGGTGGGGGACTGTTAGCATGACCACAGTGGGTTACGGAGATGTAGTGCCCGTCACAGTGGCTGGAAAATTAGCAGCAAGTGGATGCATCCTGGGTGGCACTCTGGTGGTGGCTCTGCCCATCACTATCATCTTCAACAAGTTCTCCCACTTCTACCGAAGGCAGAAAGCTTTGGAGGCGTCAGTGAGGAACAACAACCGCAAGAGGATCAAGGTGACCTGTGAGAACGAGCTGGAGGAGGAGGAGGAATCGGATCGGGACAGTCGCGGCCTGGATGATGACGATATTGACGACATTGAAGAAGATGACATTGATTTTGAGGATGAAGGAGGCGTGATAAACTACAGCTATGTGGAGCATCCATCTTACCCATCAACAAATAGAAAGGAGCTGTATCAGCTGTAAAGAACTGAAACTTTGGGACATTACTAACTCTAACTCAGCGGACTGAATATACCATGTGGGTGATAGGTGACCCCATGGGAATACAATGAAGTAAACTTTCATTTCAGGGCTTCCATGAATTATTGTAATTTGCTGCCACTGAGTGTGCATGGAGGCTGTTTGAGGACTGAACTTTGCTTATCAGACCTTTGCTTTGTCATTAAAAATTAAATATACCAAAAAATTGACAATTCTGAACCTTATCAAAACCTATACAAAAAGTGAATGTAAGTGAAAAAGCATGCTTCCCTGTAATGTTAACAAAATATACTGTAGTAGCTGAACATAACTTGTTTTAGCTGCTGTCTCCGAAGCATAGACAGAATATGCTAACTGACACGTTGGCAAGAAGTGAGAGGAAATCCACCGGAGCCATCTTCTGCTCGGTGCATTTATTGTTTGAGTGAAAAAAAAAGTCCATGCAGTCTTATGCATATTTTATCTCATATCAACAAATTTCACCATGCTATTAGCATTCCTTCAAATCCAGTAAAACAGCAGCAACCTCACTCATATAAGGGTTCTGATCTATGCTGTTTCAAACACAGAGACTCCTAGCGGCCACAGCATGAAGCAAAGCCTTTTCATTGCTCATACATACCAAAGAAAAACATTGATAACACTTTTGAGAAAGAAGATAAAATAAATAATCACCATAATCATAGTTCTATTGGATCTAAGGCTTTAGCTAATGGTTACTAAATCTGTTCAGCGTTCAGCTGAAGTGAACACAGGTCAGTCAGCCTCACCTGGGAAAAAAAAATATTTAGAGGACATTTGAAAGACAGAAGAAATCAGTAAGAAATTGCTGAGCGTAGCATGACGACGAAAATTCTTAGTAGAAAATGAAACATCAGTTTTTTGTTAAACTGATCATTTCTTTGTTGTTGCAATTGCCTCCAGGTAACAATTCTTACACGTTATCAAAGTTATTTTCATCAAATGGTTCCACATTTGTAAGTAAAAGCACGTGGTTTGAGCAGCTGAGCACTAAAAATGTGCCACATCGTCTTTGCCTTTATTTGTTGTCACTTATTGATTTAAATGATTTAAGCTTAACAGAGAAAAAAAAAAGCAGCAATTTGATAATTGATGTTTTCAACAGGCAGGGACCACAACATTGTGTGGGAGAGCCATACGCAACCACAAACGTTTGAACTGGTATTTGTCACAATACGGATAATAACGGATTGTGTTGGTAATTCTGGCATGAACAGCGGTACTAGATGGTGTTAAATTCAGGACAGGACATTATATCCTCTATCGTGGTACTTCATGATAAACGTTTCTCAGTCTGGGGCAGGAGTTATCCTCCATCAATAAGCCTTATTTTCCTTTTAAAGATGAAGATGTTAGACAACTCATCATACAGCCTCCACCAAAAGGTGTTTGACACCGACAGATATCTGGCATGTATTAGGCATGTATTTACTGACACTTAATGCATTTTCCTTATAACTGTGGCAACATTTAATAGGAAATAACAGTAAAACAGTCAAACATTGTCACTTTTCTAAGTGTTTCAGATATCTCTGTCGAATACTTTTAAGAAAATGTTGACATTGTTTGTATTCTGTTTATTGACATGAAACACACACATGAATTTAACAACAGTGCAGCACAGCGTACAACTTGAAAAAAAACAGTTGAAGACAAAGGATGACACAAAATAATCATTGAGAACATGATCTGCAATTACATTTGCATGGAAGAACATCTTTGTTTACATTATTGTCCTTTTTTCTGCAGTGTAGTATCTTTATTACTGTTTTGTGCATTCATTGCTAAACAGAGGTATGAGGATTTCTTTTCTAATTCATGTAATTTTATTGAAGAGTTTGCAGCATGCTTTTTGTGAAACTACCTCTGAGATTAAACACAGCAGCTCTTTTTTCACTACAGCAGATTATCACTGTAAGAGAGCAGCTTTTTTTAGGGTATGAGGTCATGTAGTGGTGATGCTTTACTCCTCAATGTGCTCTCTCTTCCTTATGCCAAGCTTCCCTTTTAGCCTAACGTGGCAGCTGCTCATGGACAAGCCTGGGAGAAAGTTGTAGTCTTCATTTCAATAAAATTTTCATGATTGTTCTTCTTCTGTTGATTTATTTAACTTTGGCAGGTGAAGAGAATACAGCATCAGTGGGATTTTAGCTTGGTGAATCAATGGAGGCAGCAAAATGATAAGACTGTAACTCTCTCTAACTGTAAAACTTGGACCAAACTTATTCCAGAGTGGATGCGTCCTTCCTCTCTCACTTATTATATATATTATTATATTATATTATATATTATAATATTCTGCAGAATGTTTGCCTTTATTTGTTACAGTCATTCTTCTTTATTTTTATTTGGTCTTCTGCCGGACCGGTTAAAATGAGACACGGAATGAAGTAAGAGTCCAGGAATAATGAAACTCTGATGAAGTTTTAAGCATTGATGGTGGAGGAAGGGCTGGAGGTGGGTTAAAACGGGGTCATCTGAATGAAGTCACACAGAGTAACCACCGCCTGCGCAGTAGGTACCAAACAAGTTGCAGATCGGAGGTCCAAAATTATACCTCTGACATTAACTACCCAAAGTTAAAATCTATTATATTCTACACAATCATTTTTGTATAAGGCATATCAAATTAAAATGTAATAATACATAAAAAAAAAAGCATTTTCCTTATTTTCCTTTAAACACTTTGTGTGCAGTGGAGCGTAAAGTAATTTGATTTTCATCATTTTTCTAGATCATGCTCAGAAAAAAATAGAGTTATTTAATTTTTTAGGGAAAGAACAAATAAATAGTGTCACCCAAAGGCAAAAGTTGCATCTTACACAGGGCTTCTACCTGAAGGCTAGCATACCTGGTTAGGCTTTCTGAACCAAAAAAAAATAAATAGATTACAAAATCTATAAACACAGATAAATAAGAAACACTATATATGTAAAACCATATAGTACACATTAGTAAAAAAAAAAAAACAAAACAAAAAAAAACACATCCTGACCAATGTTCCAGTTTCATAGTAAAAGGATTCTGGAAACTTGCTTCGCCTATTCAAAGAAAAATAGGTTTAATATCCATTGGGCAACGTCCCAAAGCCTGAAAGCATAAGAGGGAATGACCTTTTGGAGTTTAATCTTAAAAATCTAGGAAAGCATTGGAATGATACTGTGCTGCAGGTTATTATTGTCCAGGGGTCCTTTAACCCCTTTTAACTCACAAATTTCACTCTACTAAATCCATTCTCAAAGACAAATGCATGTCTGAAAGACTGCAAGATGAAAGCTGGGTCAGCCTAAAAAGCAGCAATCAAATTATGGCCCCTATGTTTCTAAGGTTATGTTTCAGTTAATGGATGATTGAACAGGACACAACTTTCAGCAGGTCTTTAACAGGAGAGAGAAGACTAAAAAGCCAGACTGTCTCCTGTGGTGAGCCGAGGCAAACGGTTCTGTTCGCTCAGAAACAGTGAGGAGGAAGGGAGCCGTGTTCTAATCATATCGTTTGATGTGCTGCTTTGATAAAATAACTGGATCTGATGTTTAGGTGTCAAAATGACATCAAACTAAACAGATTAAAGTCACTGACTACTGAATATTTTGATACTTTAACTTAAAACCAGTTTAACCTAGACTTCTGTCTGTAGGGTCGATGATTGCAAATTTTCTTCTAGTCACAGAAAACCTCTTATCATTAAAGGGATTTGTTTATATATCTCTATTTGCTTGAAAACTAAAAAAATGAACTTAGTTTTCCTCAGTTCATGCGTCAAGGCAAGGACCTTTATCAGGTTCACAGCATGTAGTTATAAATCAGCAGACACCTATTCCACCTAAGAATAATAAAAAAAGTTATCTGCCCCAAGGCATCAAGATGCAACAAATGGTTCTTCATCTATGATAAGACTCGAGAACAGTGCATTATTTAAAAGAAAAATGGTGTGAAACAATATGGAAAGGTTAGGGTTTCATTTGTTCAAAAAAACAGCTTAATTTTCTAACAGGAGTGCATAATTTTTTGTATCCCCTAAAAATTAAAGGGGCAGATCTTTGTTATTCCTCCTCAATTCCACGAATTCTGTAACTAACAACAACTTGAAACTAGTTATGTCCACTTCTGTCTCCATGAACCCCAGTTGGCCTCGGCAGATGGCTGCTCACCCTGAGCCTGGTTCTGCTGGAAGTTTCTTCCTGTTAAAAGAGAGTTTTTCCTCTCCACCATCGCTGAATGCATGCTTTTTGTGAGGGATTGCTTTCGAGTCAATGAGTCGATCAAATCAACTGGTTTTCCTCAGATAGAAAACTTTTAATCAATTTGACTGTATGATCTGGTTGAATTTAAAAGGCCCTCAGATGACACGTGTTGTGAATTGGCGTTATATTAATAAACTGAAATGAAAAGTTATTGTACATTTCTGTTTCCTTAGGAACATCAGGGATCCCCCATTTAATGAGTCATCAACATAATTGATTTTATCAGGAAAATATTGTAAAATAAAAAAAATTAAAACAGGTTTTATTTTAATCCAAAAATGTGACTCGGAACATTTAGAATAATGAAAAGTGGCAAGGTACGCAGCAAGGATGGATAAGCAACACATTAAACCTCGAGGCGGATGGGCTACAGCAGCAGAGGGCCACACAAAGGGAATCCCAGCAGGTAAATGACTGCTGCTACAATGACTGACAACACAGAAAGTTAAGAATCAATCCACTACTTAGTTGATCATTTATTTCAATCATGATGAATTTGTAGTAAATTCTGTTTCAATATTACTTATGCATTTACTTTTTTATGTTTTATTATTTTAATATAATGATAAAAAAAAAATGAAGTGGCAGTTTTTGAACTGGGAGTATATAACTGTCAAAAGTGTAAAGTTTAATTTAATTTAGAGCATTTTTGTTTATATCATTAAAGTACAAAACAGGAAATTTTATCTCTATTAAGGTTCTAAATTTGAAAATTGAACCAAAATTGTAATCTGATTGCATCTCTTTAAATATTTATCTCTCTGTTTTGTATTTTTTTAATCAGCTGATGTGGCGTTACTGGAAGGTATTCAGCTAAATGCCCTTAGTGTTGAATGAAGACACTCTAATAGAAATATGACGCAGATGTTACATTAATCTTAATGAACAAATGTTCCCCAGTAAATGT